AAGTTTTGAAAATAAGAAAATAAAATTCAAGTGTTCTAATAATTTATATATGAGGCATTTATAAAATATGTCTCTAAAATATAAATGACCCTATAGGTCTCGTAAATAAGAAAAAAATATCAAATGTCCCAATAAATAATATTTGAGGCATTTGTAAAACAATGTCCCCAAACAAGTGTTGCAAAATCTATATTTTGTTGTAGTGTTAATTTGACCCCAAATTTCTCAAATTATTCAATTTCGACTCAAAACTTTTTGTTTTCAAATTTTTATTTTTGCCGCCAGATTGCAGCGTCGACTTTTTTTTTTCTTCGGATTTTTTCACCGGTTTCCGGCGGTCAACGCCGGTCTCCGGCGTTGACTTTTTCGATTTTTTTTTTCTTTTTTTTCTTGTTTCTGTAACATTTTTTTTTCGTTTAAACAGCAATATTGTTGCGATTGGCAGTAATATTAACTATATTACTGTTAAACGCAGTAAAATTAACTAAACTACAGTTTAACACAGTAATATTACTATATTAATCTCTAGCACAGTAATATTAACACAACAAAAACTCATTATTATTGTGTAACAGAGTAATATTACTATGTTGACCGTTCAACAAATGTAAACATAATAAAAAGCCAAAAGAATTAATATTACTATGAGTGAATATAATATTATTATAACAACAGTAATATTACCGTCAACCACAGTAATATTACAATAATAGACTGTAATATTATTACGTTACTCCGTGAATAACTTAAACAAACAAAAAAATCCAAACAAAATAATAATATTGATGTCGTTGACATCAAGATTACTATAACAACAGTAATATTACCGTCAACCACAGTAATATTATTGTGTTTACAGTAATATTACAATAATAGACAGTAATATTATTACGTTACTCCGTGAATAACTCAATCACAACAAAAAACCCAAAAAAATAATAATATTGATGTTGTTGACAGTAATATTATTGTATTTATAGTAATTTTACTATCAACGAAAGTAATATAATTACGTTGACTTGTCAACAAATCAAACTAAATAAAAAAATAACAAAAAATAAAAAATAATATAATTGTATATATATATACTGCAGCATTTTGTTATCTTATATATAAAAGAAAGAAACGCTAGGGCAACTCCAAGAAACTCTAATGGCATTTCTGTAATTATTTATTTTTAATATTTTTCCTGTATTAATTTTCTAACTATATTTTTCAACAATTATCGAAATCGACACTGAACCGTGAAGAATTCTTCCGGCTTCAATCTCCTATTTTTCATCAATATATCTCAAATTTTAAGAGATAAAAATAGAAATTTGATTTGTTAAATCTTAACTTATTTATTTAGATTATAAATCTTACTCCGTAAAAACACTAATGTTATATTAAATATGAATAGTACTAATTTCTTAAATTTTACTATGTTAGTGTATTATATTTATTTTATTATGTATTAAATTGATTTTTTTTTTCAATTTTAAAATTCGATCCCGTGCATCGCACGAGAGAAAAAATGCTAGTATTATATTATACTAGAATTTTTCCCCGTGCGATGCACGGGATATTATTTAAATTGTGGAAAAAAAATAATCAATTTAATACATAATAAGAAAATATAGTACACTAATATAATAAAATTTAATAATGTAGTATTATTCATATTGAATTTCTAACTTTATCTCTTAAGATTTGAGATATATTGATGAAAATTAGGAGATCAATAATTGTTGAAAATTATAGTTAAAAAATTAGTACATAAAAAATATTAAAAATAAATAATTACATAAGTAGCAATAAGGTAGAATTCTTCACGGGTAAGTTTTAATTTTGACAATTATTAAAAATTATAGTTAGAAATTAGTAGAGAAAAAATATTAAAAATAAATAATTACAGAAATACCATTAGGATTTTTTAGGGTTGCTCAGCGTTTCTTTCTTTTATATATGTATTATTCATATTGAATTTCTAGCTTTATCTCTTAAGATTTGAGATATATTGATGAAAATTAGGAGATCAATAATTGTTGAAAATTATAGTTAAAAAATTAGTACAGAAAAAATAATAAAAATAAATAATTACATAAGTAGCAATAAGGTAGAATTCTTCACGGGTAAGTTTTAATTTTGATAATTGTTAAAAATTATAGTTAGAAATTAGTAGAGAAAAAATATTAAAAATAAATAATTACAGAAATACCATTAGGGTTTTTTAGGGTTGCTCAGCGTTTCTTTCTTTTATATATGTGTTATTCATATTGAATTTCTAGCTTTATCTCTTAAGATTTGAGCTATTTTGATGAAAATTAGGAGATCAATAATTGTTGAAAATTATAGTTAAAAAATTAGTTCAGAAAAAATAATAAAAATAAATAATTACATAATTAGCAATTTTGATAATTGTTACAAATTATAGTTAGAAATTAGTAGAGAAAAAATATTAAAAATAAATAATTACAGAAATACCATTAGGATTTTTTAGGGTTGCTCAGCATTTCTTTCTTTTATATATGTATTATTCATAACTTTATCTCTTAAGATTTGAGATATATTGATGAAAATTAGGAGATCAATAATTGTTGAAAATTATAGTTAAAAAATTAGTACAGAAAAAATATTAAAAGTAAATAATTACATTGTAGGGAAAAAATATTAAAAATAAATAATTACAGAAATACCATTAGGATTTTTTAGGGTTGATCAGCGTTTCTTTCTTTTATATATGCATTATTCATAACTTTATCTCTTAAGATTTGAGATATATTGATGAAAATTAGGAGATCAATAATTGTTGAAAATTATAGTTAAAAAATTAGTACATAAAAAATATTAAAAATAAATAATTACATAAGTAGCAATAAGGTAGAATTCTTCACGGGCAAGTTTTAATTTTGACAATTATTAAAAATTATAGTTAGAAATTAGTAGAGAAAAAATATTAAAAATAAATAATTACAGAAATACCATTAGGATTTTTTAGGATTGCTCAGCGTTTCTTTCCTTTATATATGTATTATTCATATTGAATTTCTAGCTTTATCTCTTAAGATTTGAGATATATTGATGAAAATTAGGAGATCAATAATTGTTGAAAATTATAGTTAAAAAATTAGTACAGAAAAAATAATAAAAATAAATAATTACATGAGTAGCAATAAGGTAGAATTCTTCACGGGTAAGTTTTAATTTTGATAATTGTTAAAAATTATAGTTAGAAATTAGTAGAGAAAAAATATTAAAAATAAATAATTACAGAAATACCATTAGGGTTTTTTAGGGTTGCTCAGCGTTTCTTTCTTTTATATATGTGTTATTCATATTGAATTTCTAGCTTTATCTCTTAAGATTTGAGCTATTTTGATGAAAATTAGGAGATCAATAATTGTTGAAAATTATAGTTAAAAAATTAGTTCAGAAAAAATAATAAAAATAAATAATTACATAATTAGCAATTTTGATAATTGTTACAAATTATAGTTAGAAATTAGTAGAGAAAAAATATTAAAAATAAATAATTACAGAAATACCATTAGG